TTTCAGTCTAGTTAGGGCTAAATAAGCGCCTTATTACTTCAAATAACTAGCAAATTTCAACCAAATTGGTGTTGGGATATTTATAATATTTTATAAGAACGTTTTTTCTCAAAACGACCTAACGAATCACCGTCTGAAGTTTCGTACCGTAGTTAGGAAATACCCTGAATTTGTTTTTCATTCCAATGAAAAAGAAATTCACGGCATCTGTGTTCACACCAATTCCTTTATGGGCAGGAGTTCAAAGTAGAAAAAAGTCAAAAACGACTTATCTCAACTCAAAAATAAATTGTCCCTATCCTTTCAGGCTTCAACGAATGTTAATTAAAATTATGGCACTCGTGGCGAGTCATTTGAGCTANTAACCAAGTTGTCACCTGTCACTAAATGAAAATCCGGACTTATAAAAATTGAGTTGATTGTTGAAAAAATATATGATGGGAGAACGGGTTTTGAGAATCAAGTATTTCTAACATCACTTAACAATTTCAAGAAGAAATTAGTTATGTGATGGCAGTCAAGTTTACAGCAGTTGAAGTTTACATTCGCTGTTTTGATCATTTATCTCGTGTGTAACACATAATCAACATCTAGAAAGAATTAGTGGAATTCAATTTCGAGGTTGTCACAATATTATAGTTTGAAAAACGCTTCATGGTGTATTAAATTAGTTCTCTTTGGCAGAGTTAAGACCTTATTTGTCAGGGCCCTGTCAAGTGAATGAAATGTCTAGACTTCCTCAGTTGATTTGATTACTGTGAAAAACGGGTATGGACATGATGATTCTAGCAAGCCCCCCATTTGATATAGGAGAGTTAGAAGAAATGATCTGGAAAAGGGTTATCGGATCCAAAAACACATTAGCAACATGAATTAATCCAAGGACACCCTTTTTCAGGAGATGACTGTTAACTATCAAGTTGACCTACATTCCATTTTACCATGTCGAGGAAGAGCAGTATTCACTCTCGGCTAAGGAAAATGACAATGCTCCAAGTGGAGCAAATCTGGGAAATCAAGAGTCACATTTTTCTTAACAGAGAAGGATGTTATTTGTCAAATAACACCGTCATCTTTGAAACCGTTTAGTTATAGCCCAATTCCGACAAACGCAACCAAAATAACAATAAGATCGGGTAGGCCACTCTTCTGTGGATTGGACTGTTGTACTATTGACCATTAAATATTCTTGTTGAAATACAAAAGCTAGTGCATACATAGTTCGAGTGGATTTAAAAAAAAGTAGTCCTTGACAAAATCGTCTATTCGAGGAACCTACATGTGTTGAGAATGAGCCTTCTACAATTCGGATGAAATACTTCTGTGAAGACTTTCATGAATATGCACAACTACCAAGTATATAGACTCCCCAACCGCTCAACTAGAAAATTTTAAAAGAAGTTGGAAGATCCCTGATGAGTTCAAAGACATTTTTTGTTTCAGGTCGGAACGGATTTATTATTTTTCGAACGAAAAAACTACCAAGTTAGCATCATCAGGAGACGACTTTTAGTGATATCCTGGAAAAAGTGTTTTCATAGATTCATTTTACGTCAGATGTTTCAATTCTGTTCATCGAACTAACAAGTTGCCGTCATTCCACCACTTTATTACCTTCTCGTGGAAAGTCATCTTGGTTTTGTTCAGGTTAGAGCCTGGCTCCTTTACCCTTTCGACTGGTATTACCTTCTCAAATGCCTTACCAGCGTTTAAACAGTGGAGACGGGAGTGGGTATAAAGAAGGAAGAAAAGGAATAAATTATTTTGCAAATCGTTAATTGATAAAAGTTAGGGAAAAAAGCATAGGTCAAATAATTATATCCAAGGATAGTCACTATTTTAACAAGTAGGAGGTAAAAATACCGTAACTAGAATTGTCAGTTCTAATTTTAGGGATCAATCTACAAAAGTTGATTTATTTACAAGAAAAAATAAATGAATACGAATGAAGGATTTTCTCACAATGATATCCTCGTTTTCTTATTCAACTGATGAATTATATTCCTCTTTGAACAATTGTATACCGATTGTATGACCATCGGTTAACACGGAAGCGCTGACAGTTTTGAAATTTTACTCCTGTGATGCCAATGCGTCCCGTTCAGACTCAAATTAACGATAATAAGGAACAAGATTACCTTGATTAAGAAATGAAGCTTATGATCCGCTGTTATGTCATTTCCAACAGGGGTGAGGCATCTGGGTGTCCAAGAAGCAAAGACACGCCAACTGCATTTCTTAAAGTTGGGAAGATTTTAAGGGTATTATCAGAAAATGATGAACATATTACTGGAAATATTGTCCAGAGGCAAACAGGAAATAGAGGCCTAAAAATGCATACATGTCTGAACATAATTTCTTGCAAGCAAGTAGGTCGTATCAACAAAAACACAAAATGTTTGTTCATACCTGAGATGGAATGTGACCTTTAGGTGTCTAAGTTCTTAGACAATGTAGACTTCAAAGTTTCGAGTACATTCCAACATAAATCCTAAGACAGTAGATAATTGATTATCTCCCTTGAGATGGTCATACTACATCCTTATACTAAATGAAATGTTCAATTTCTCTGTCGCAAATCAAACAGCTCTGCACATTCTTTTTGTTGTATGTATTTTTTGTAACAGTCCTCACAGCTTATTTTATATATCCCCGAATTTTCATTTTCCAATATCTTATCTTTAGGGTCACCTAACATTTGTTCAAGTTAGCAAGACGTTTTGAAGGCTACTTCTTCGTTCAACTTTTTGAAAATACGATCTAATCCGTTAGTGTATCTTGGTTCATACTTATCTACAGCATTTGACGAATACCTGTTGATTTCAGCTGTATCCCTTATGACATGTTTCTCGATATGGTACCTTTCATTTTTCATTACTCATAGGAAATACAAGCCTATGAACAAAAAAGTTTAGACCATCCATTTTGTGTTGTGGATAATGGTCTGAGCTATCGGGAATATATTTAATCGTACTGTTATTGTTTCTTTAAACATCAAATTCTAGACCCTGGTTACTACTAATTGCTAGGACATCCAGAAGTAGCAACTCTTGTTTTCAATCAATATGTTTACTTGATATTTAGGGTTCTGTTGTTCAGAGTTGAAATAAAATCATCTACCTTTGATTCCTTTGTATCAGAAATCGCAAAATATATCGTCTACATCGTTCGATTGATGACTTATTTATTTTGTAGAAATTCATGTTGAATATAGAATAAAGAAAATAACTTTTGTCTAGTTTCTACTGTGTTTATTTATTCGTTACGACCGGTTTCGGCCATTTTCAAGTAACTTTGTCGTAGTTACTTGAAAATGGTCTTATAAGCCGGTTTCGGCCATTTTCAAGTAACTTTGTCGTAGTTACTTGAAAATGGTCTTATAAGCCGAAACCGGTCGTAACGAATAAATAAACACAGTAGAAACTAGACAAAAGTATTTTTATTATTCTATATTGAACATCGTCTACATATTGGATCCACGTCAGTGGAAAGTAATCTAACTCATCAATTGCTTCCAATTGAAATCTTCTCATAAACATATTAGCTATGAACGGGGACAGTGGGTTTTCTGTTGCCGTGCCTTCATGCTGTCTAAAGAAACAGTTGTTGAACCAGAAGCAATTCTGTTCCATGCAGATTTTTGTTAATTGCATGTAGTTTTCGATTACTTCTCCCTCAAATAATCAATAGTTTTAGGTATAGGGACACTTGGAAACAACGAGGATAAATCAAACGTTATTAAAATCTATTCATCTCGCAACTCCACATCCTTAACTTTCTTCATGAAATCATGTGAATTGACGACAATAAAATCAATTGCGGGATTGAGAGTGTTTCAAACTGGTTAAAACCATGTAGAAATTTTATTAGTCAATTGTCACTGTCAATTTTATTAGTACTACTATTGGTGACTATCAAATGGACCAGCAAGACTAACAGATGAGTCGTACACGGATTTTTTGCGAGATCATCTTAATAGAAGTACCCATCTTAAGAAAAGAAGTACCCATATTTGTCAATATGTGGCTTATGCACGATGGACTTCCAGCTCATTTAGTGTTCTCGCTCGCCTCTCCCAATCACTGAATTGGCCAGCCCATAGTCGCGATACGAATCCTCTAGATTTATATTTATCTGAAGGCTCTGGTTTATGAAACTTCTGTACTTCTGTGAATGACTTATTCTATTTGAATAAATTGTTTTGCTGACAACAATTTAGAAATGTATTTCAAATTGTTGAGTTTTTCATGCTAGAAAATATTTACACCCCTTAGAACATTTCCGAGAGAGCTGAGCCCATGGATTTGATTGTTGTATTTGAGTGATTCATTAATTAAAGTCTGTTGATGATTTTAATTTGGTGCTGAGATCGAACGGAATATTTTTATACTATTCAGATTCTGCAATGAAATAAAATATCACTTACATGCTTGCAGAAAAATCATAACCAAATTGTAAAATTTTTGAAATTGATATTTTTGTAGACCTTCAATTAGATTTCTCGTTTCTTGGGATTATTGACCACTGTTCTACTTCGACTAAGTTTCTCGAGTTTCAAGGGTATGAGTGATTGACATCATCAGGAGTTTAGATTTTGTACTGCTGAAGGTTCCAATCATTCTGAAAAATAACAGATACAATGAAACTGGTCCTTAAACTCTCTCGAGTTTCAAGGGTATGAATGATTGACATCATCAGGAGTTTAGATTTTGTACTCCTGAAGGTTTCAATCATTCTGAAAAATAACAGAAACAATGAAACTAGTCCTTAAACTCTCTCGGTAGTAAGATGTTTTGGTTCTTTGTGAGAGAAAGACTCGTTAGTTTTTCTAAAGATAACATCATATGAAGTGACTTCAAAATTCATTCAAAATGCTTTGGTCAGGTTATATACAGATATTCATATGTCTAACCGTATTTTGAAATGTGAACAATGAATAATACGTATTCCGTTCTTGGAGCATCAACTCTAGTAAATCCAATATGTATTTTTTTTTTCAGTTATTTGGGATAGAAATAGATCCGGAGTACGGCGGAGCAGGATGCAATTTTATGACCACCATTGTAACGATTGAAGAATTAGCCAAAGTCGATCCTGCCGTGTCAGTACCAGTTGATATACAAAATACTCTCATAAATGCTGTGATAATGAAACTAGGAACTAGAGAACAGAAAGAAATATACTTAAAACGATTAGCAACAGATACAGTAAGTTGACGGCTCATAGTAAGATGGTAATCAGGAAAGTAGTTATTCTAATATGGACCTTATAAATGATTTTTGAATTTTCAGAGAAAATACTTTGAATAATGAAGCGATAAATGGTTCATTTTTTTCATCTATCCAGTGAAATACTCCTATCTACAAGGAATGTAAAATAACATTCATTTATTTTATTTATTTATCTATCCGCGTCAGTTTACTGGAATTGAAAAATTGTAAAAATGCTTCTTTTTGGGTTGCGCTAGCTTTTATTTTACTGAAATGTACAAAAATCCAAAATCTTGTATCTAGAATGTTAACTAAATTTTACCAATACATTTCAGAGATTTCACAAATAAAATCAATTGGTTACATGAAAAACTATTCAGCCTGTTTAGGTTTCAAATTTTATACTCAATGACTATTATTACTTTCAGGTGGCTAGTTTTGCTTTATCGGAAGCTTCTTCGGGATCAGATGCATTCTCCTTGAAAACAACAGCTAAAAAAGATGGTCCTGACTATGTTCTGAATGGTTCAAAAATGTGGATTTCCAGTTCAGATATAGCAGGAATTTTTTTAGTAATGGCAAATGCGAATCCTTCAATAGTAAGTATTTAAGTTATTTACAATGTTCATTAATTCAAATCGAAATGCCTCATTTTTTATGTAAAATTATGAATATAACTTCACTTATTATCTCATTTGAGATGAAAGTCATAACCCCTTATCTCTACCACTGTTATAAATATAAACTTCACTTATTATCTCATTTGAGATGAAAGTCAACCCCTTATCTCTACCACTGTTACATCACATCAATTGTTTACTAAGGTACTGATCAAATTTAAAACAATCTTATCTTTTTGATGTTGGAACCTCACATTATTCTTTAGAAAGATCTTCAATACATTTCCAATTTCTCAAAAATCTCGTGTGTTTATTTTTTCAAAAATCCACATTCTGATCAGATTTCAAAATGGTGCAATTGCAATGAATCAGAAGCGATTTTAAAACACGTTTAGATAGTGATTAAAATATCATGAACAAGTATACAACAAACATCTAACATTGTTGAATTCATTTGCAGTAAAGGAGAACGTTCCTAGATAGTCAATGATTAAATTTCGTTTGTCAGCTGTAATCAGTAGTTTGGTGCCAAAGAGCTGTGTTGTGATAAACTGAGATCATTTTATGAAAATCATCCAAAAAATCTACAGAAGTACGAAATCAGTGCATACCTACACTTTTAGGAATATTTCCGTTATACCCAGATAGAAATTTTAGTCAGATATAATTCTCTCATACATGGGGTTTAAAATTGTAAATCCATTAAAAATCATGTGATTGAATTCAGGACCATTAGATAAATTTAGACCTAATCTGGTGCAGTATGGACGTTGTTATAGTGTATATTTTGAAGGCGCCAACTCTGCATTTTTAGCCGGGAGAAATGAAATTTCATAGTCAGCCCTGCAATCCATTTAGACGTGTTGCCAAGACGATATATACCTTCTCCCCCTACCCCCACTAGCACCTTCATCAAAGATCTCTATCTGAAAACACACACCATATTACTGGAGATTAATCCCAACACCAAACCTTTATTTTTAACACCTCGACACGTGTTTCAATCACCAAGTGATGATCTTCAAGAGGATTTTTAAGCTGTTTAGTTTAATCTTCCTCTTGAAGATGTTTAGTTTAATAACTTGGTGATAGAAACACGTGTCGAGGTGTTGAAAAAAAAAAGGTGGTGTTGGGATTAAATTCCAGTAATATTCATTACTACACCAAAGGTTCCAAACAGTGTATCACAAGTACACTTAAATTGCTTGAAAGTTACAAGAAAAATCACGAACAAGCACTGAAGAGTGAATAATTGGCTTTATCATGGTGCTAAAGTCATAAATTGTTTTTTCACAAATCCGTACGTTTTTTCGGATTTTTTCTCATAAATGCCGTTGAACTTGTATTACAAATTGTAGGTAGTACTGATTATTGACCATTAGACCTTGTGGCAAGAATCCATGATTTATTATACCATAAAATTGAAGAACACAGTTTGACCGCCCTTGTCGAGCCATTTTCGGTTTTGGCGAGTCAGAATCGTCGTTGACTTCATTTAGAAACTCCTGAGCAACTTCCATTCGCCCCCGTTTGTGTAAAAAATTCAACAATTTTGAAACAAATTTTGCTGCCACGTCTTTCATATCCAAATTTCATGACATAAGCCAATCGATATGCCAACATCATTAACGATTTTTCGGATTGTGATTCGGAAATCGTTCATAACCATTTCTTTCACTTATTCCACGTTTATAACGATTGTTCATGTGCTGGGGCGTTCGTCATTTTCAACGTCTGCATGGTCATCTTGGTAACGCTTCTACGACTCGTAAACTCTTAGATACAAATTCTTTGATCCATTTTTTTCAACAAACGAAAATCGCCGATCTCGTGAAAACACGTCTAACCTTTGCGGCAGCTAAAAATTTTATCATGTTTCATGGGCATCTAAATAAACATAAAAGAATGATGATTAGATCCCCCTAAGCCGTGAAATTTAAAATTCCCGTGAACATACCTCGCATTTAAGGGGTCAGCATCCAAATTGATTTGGGAGCTTCACATCACATTTCAAATTGGAGCAATTTGTCTCATTGGCGACCCTTCATTATCAGTAACAACTATAGAATAGCCAAATGAATAATTTATTGTTTCTTGAAACTTCACAGTTCTCTAACAAGAGTTTATTTCTTGATACATAATGAGGTAAAAATAGCATACAAAAGTACATGCACAGATACAAATAAAAGGGAGTGTCTTAGTGGTGGCCCGAGTATTTTGAGTTGTATTCGTTAAGAACGTATGCTCTCAATTTAATGATTTTATGCACGTGTTCATTGATAGAATTTGTCATAATAAATATAATGTGTAAAAGCTTTATTGAGGTATAAATAGGGCACTCAAAGAGAATGTGATGAATTGTCTCATATTTTTCTTTCTTAAAAATGGTACAAAACTCTTTCGGAGTCAGATGATAATTATTGGCATGGCACTGGCATGAATTTATTAGAGACTCTGATCTATGCTAAGATTCGTGTAAAGTATATTGGCATTGTAATATCTAGATAACTCTGACGATTTTGAAAAGATATTTTTATAATTTGAAACGTAAAACTAACTAAACGACGACCCATCCTCTTGCAGTAGTTTGGACAGGAAAGTATCTAAGAATTTCTTCGTATTTCTAATAACAGTGTTATCATCAATATTGGACCCATGCTACGTTGTAGTCTTTAAATTCGAAAAAAGCTTCAATCTGTCCAGGGCAGCTGTATTAAACACAAAGTTCCTCGGTGTATTCATTGATAATAGGCTGAAATTTGATGAGCATCTTGAACAACTGAAGAGTAAGATCTCCTCAGGATGTTATGCAGTTAGAGTGGTTTCAAATGAGTTGGGTTTCTATGTCGCAAAGACCGTTTACCATGCACTTGTTGAATCTCGACTACGTTATGGAATACCTTTTTGGGGAGCATGCAACTCATCCCTTCTCTCTTCTGTATTGATATTACAGAAGAGGGCACTAGGATGTATCTGTAAAGTCAAACCCAGAGAATCGTGCAGGAATTTGTTCACTGCCAATAAAATGTTAACAGTCATCGCACTTTTCATCTTAGAGACAGTTTGTCTTATTTATAAACATAAATCGAAGTTTAACTTTGCTTCTCCTCCTTATGCTACTCGCAATAGCAATTATACCTTTAGACTTCCCATCCCAACTTCGAATTTAATCAAGGATTCCATATACTATAATGGTGGTAAATTGTTCAATCATTCACCATTAGAAATGAGATCTGCTAATTTAAGCAACATTCATTTCAAAAAGGCGGTGAAGAACCTACTTGTTGATAGACCCTATTATAGTTTGGAAGAGTATTTTAGTGAATACTTTTAACAATATATCAGCAATTTATTTTTTGTACTATCACTTTATACATGGTGGTCTTTTATCTATACATTTTAAGAACTTTTTTTATATTTACATTTATACATTTGTGGAACTTTTTTATTTTGATTTGATTTCAATGCTTGTTACTTTCCATCTGGTATATTTTAATAACCTGATTTATTGACTGTTTAAAAATTGTGTAGTTTCTAGTATGAGTCCAGTTTCTAGTATCTGGGATATTTTCAGGAAGAAGTATTCTTACTCTTTTTCAGAAAATTTAATTATACTCATTCAATGACCGTTGTATATCTAACTCCCTGAACTGGTATAAAATTAGTCACAATACTTGGTACTATTGAGTCAAGAAAATTTCATATGCGATGTCCAAGTTGCCCATTTTGGTTTTTCTTGGAGGGACGACAGATTCAATATCATGCTTATCTTTCAACACAAAGGTAGAAGAAAAATTCAGATGCGATGTCCAAGTTGCCCATTTTGGTTTTTCTTGGAGAGACGACAGATTCAATAGCATGCTTATCTTTCAACACAAAGGTAGATAACTCTGAGATGATATCAACAGTTTTCGTTTTGTATAAAAATTTGCTCTTTGTCAGTTTGCAGTCCGTGTAGTCTTTTGTTTTTTTCGACATTTAGTTGTATAGGCACAGGTATCTGTGGTATAGGGCGAACAAATCTGAGTTAATATTACGAGTGTTTTGTCAGCTCCTCAAACTGGAGGCCTTTCTTATGATCGGTCAGTATTCAAGGAATAGTCAGTAGTAAATTCGAACAACTTCATCGATTCCTTGTTTGTATAGTCCGTGTAGTAATTATTCATAATCAATTTTCAATTAAGAGATTGAAGTTTTACTCTTATTATGCTACAGCATAACTGAAACCCAGAGGCCAAACTAGAACAGTCGACCAAACAATAATTTTGATTTGTTTGTGACATGAATTTACTCATTAATTTCAGGGTTACAAAGGGATCACCTGTTTCATAGTGGATCGAGACACCCCTGGACTGAGCATAGGAAAACCAGAAAAAAAATTAGGAATGTGTGCCTCTGGAACGTGCGCAGTGAACTTTGATAATGTACGAGTGCCTCAATCTTCTATCCTAGGAGAATTAGGACAAGGTTACAAAATAGCTGCAGGTTTTCTTAATGAGGGAAGAATAGGCATCGGCGCTCAAATGATAGGACTGGCTCAAGGATGTTTTGATGCTACGATACCGTATACTCTTGAGAGACAGCAGTTTGGAAAACCTATATTTTCTTTCCAGGTACTTTCATATAATCATATTAAAAACGCACCTAAAAAATTCAATGACTATACATTGTAAAGACCTATCTTCTCAGCAGTAACAGATACTGCATTCAAATAGCGGTGATTCAATAATTAGAGCTAATTACTCACGTTAACCAACCAGATGCCTTAGAAGTATCATTGAGAATAACTTAAGCCTACTAAATATTCACTTTTTCTATAGTGTGTTTTTAATTGCCACTAGAAGGAAAAGTTTCATTGAATTTGATCGGCTATGGCAAAAGTCAATGAAGCATTGAAATTGACCTTGATTACAAACAATCTGTAACTTCGGATTTACTTGTTTGCTTAGACAAAAGCGCACTATAAAAATTTGCATGTCACTGTGACATAGGGAGAAATAAACGCCAAAAATTAACAATTATGTATAACTGCCTATGCAAAATTGTCAAAAATGCATCATTTGGTCTTTCCAACCTTGTATTAGTTTGCATGTCTTTTTATTCTTGGAAAACCCATTCACAAAAAAAATTGTTGAAAATCTGTGTATTTTCTTGGTTAAAAAGGCAAAAAACATGCAAATCATGATAAAACACCCCCAATATCTAAGGAATGATATACCAAATTTGCACCTTTTGACCTCACAAGAAAATCAAAATTGAAATTTGGTAATTGAAAAATTTCAATGAATGAATATTTAAAACTAAATTTGTATTTCCAACATGTCAAGTAGATTCTAATGGGGCGTTGTTAGCAATGCGTTTACCAGCCAATCACAGTCGTTAATCATCTGACTTCACAATGCTCAGCCACAGAAATTGTTTTTTATCATAGAATGAATCTGTATTTTCCCAATTTTGTAGACATAAGTGGACCACTTATATAATTAGCATTCATTAAGTAGGCTCAGTATATATTTTGATTATTTTATGTACGTAATTTTCAAACCAAGAAAGAATGTAGTATCGAAAGAGAAGATTATAGTGAATTTATTGGTGGAAGGTTTGACTACTAATAAAATGCCAAAAAGCATACACAAACCATTAGGAATTTGTCGAATGAATTGAAACATCTACTTAAAAAATCCCCAGAGAAAATTTAACAACAGCCAAATCACAAAGAAAAAGTAGAATTTGTTTAAATTGAAAGGGTTATATTTTTAGGTGTGATTAATTTTTGGGAAAGGAAGTTTTTGGCTTTCTACTACTCCATCTTGCTACAAAAAAAGTTGGAATCTTCCAAACAAAGGAAGGAAACAATAAATTTTTAAAGAAGTACCTAACTCTATACATAGATGTGTAGATCATGCAAAGAAGTAACTTTCGGACACAAACTGGAAGAAAAAGCCCTCCTGAAATAGCTACTTTCATATAAACATTGAATTAAGCAAAAAAAAAATTCTTTCGAAACAAATACTTTTTAATGAACACTGAATTATACAAAAAACTTTTCTCTACTCAGTTTGTATTCCAAACATTCGTTATGGAATTGAATCAGATATCATTCACAGGATTCCTACACAATATACTAAATGAAAGGAAAAAATTTTGCTTACTTGAAACACTGTCATCCCCACTGGTAGACATCAATGTTTTGCCTTAAGACACTTGCCTTAGGGCTCTTCAGTACCAGTTATCCAGAGATAACATTATGAATATGAATGAATTGTATGTTTTTGCTCATGTTATCCAGAATGATACTGAAGAGCCCCAAGGCAAGTGTCTTATGGCGAAACATCGATGTCTACCAATGAGGAGGACAGTGTGCCATGTAAGTGAAATTTTAACCTTTCATTTAGTATTTTGTGTAAGAATCCTGTGAATATTTGATTCAATTCCATAACGAATGTTTGGAATACAAACTGAGGATAGAAAATTGTGTTTTGTATATTTCGGTGTTCATATAAAAGTGTTTATTTCAAAAGAATTTTTCTTCATGTAATTCAATGTTTATATGGAAGTAGCTGTTTCAGGAATGCTTTTTCTTCCATTTTGTGTCTGAAAGTTACTTCTTTGCGTGATCTACACATCTATCTGTAGAGTACATAACTATGATTGGAGATATGATGTAAGCTAACACTAAACTACTCAATACATGTTTACTTTGATAGGATTATGATAACAGGAGGTCTCAGAATCAAATAATAATTTTGGTTTCCAAGTGGATCCTCCATATACCCCTTTTTTAGCATTTATTTATGCTGACCGTGGAAATTGTTTGATAAATTTTTCAATATTTCATGAAATTGGTACCCAGTCTCCTAAGATGTGAAACATTTTTTTTGAAACATCAATGGAATAGTTTATTCAAATTGATATTGTATTGCAGTATAATGTACAGATAAAACGCGTTAAGGTACCCAATAGACAGTATTCCCAAAACAAATTTCAGTGAATGCCACTGTTTTGCCACACTGAATATTCCAATCAACCCGGAGCTGTCAGTTGTGTTCAAAATATGGAGGGTTAGAGAGAATTTAAGGCTTAATGGGACTCTATAATGCTCTTGGGAAATTCCTCAAAATATTCTAACTCGGACAATCTAAGTATGTTCTTTTGATATGGTGTGAAAATTTTACCAAATAAGTTTGTAGAATATTTGGATTGTTTATTGCTCAAACAAAAATTGTTTTCAGTTTTTAAGTTGAGTGAAAAATGTTGATATGGTTACAGCAGATGCTCGATATGATTGCAACTGTTATCCCACATTCTATCTGCCAAAACGATCATTTGGAGGTACACCTGGATGAAAGATAGACGAGGGTATTAAGTCCCATACGTCAATTATTTTTTAGCATTTGGAGGACAGAATCAGTTGACTTTGCGCGAACTGAGAAGCCAAATAAAATATCCGCCGTGCGATGCTATGGTGAAGGAAAATTTTATAGAAAAGTACAGAGATGACATATTCATTACTAGTCGGTTTGGTCCACTATTTCCTTGAATAGTTATCGACCACTTCTCTACTCTTGGTATCGCGAAAAATTTCGTAATGAACGATTGAGGATCGTACATACAGATATTTAACCTCATTTTGACTATTTACTATTTATGCTTTTTGTTATATGTACAAGAGAATATACCCTACTCTACACTGAAAACTTTACCATCACAAATATGTCACTGGGTTATTTCGCTATTGAACTTGGACTAAAACTGACGGAGTTTTATAAGAACAATAAAAGAAAACAAAATCGGGGCTGATGAGCCGTGGTCATAAAGAACTTGTAATAGCAAACGTTTTACCTGCTAGTGCAATAGACATCATTAGTGGTATATGCGTTGACTGGAAAGTCTCAGTAATGACTGACTGGCCAACTCTTCGTTCTCTTGTATTTATAATTTGATGTTAGTGATGGTGGTTTGAGTGTAGTGTTCAGGCAATTGCTTGTACTGATTGGTATGAGTTGTTGACAGGTATGCTGCTGGTGAGATGTCGATTGGAGTTGTATTCTACCAGTCCATTTCTGGTCTTCTTGAGTACTGCATACCACTTTTGGTTGAAGTCGTGTGTGTTAATACGATGAACTCGACATGATAGCAGTTTCTACGTATTTTATTACGTGGTCTGTTTCTGCTGGAACATGTTTTGCAGTTGCGGATTTCTTAGGTTGCATAAGACGACAGTGAATTCTTGTATCCTGGTGTTGATGCTGCGTTTGGTTGTTACGATGTGAACTGAGACACAAGAACAAGGAGTCCAGTAAACACCGGCGGATTTCTGAGACTCTTTTTCGTCCTTGGCTTATCTAATAGTGTAGCTTAGTTGGCTTGGTTTAAGCATTTTTTGAGTGTGATCTGTGACTTTGTTCATGTAAAGACTGTGCCTACCACTGGCGGCTGAATCGTGAACGAAGTTGGAGTATTTCTTCTTCTGGATAGTACTTAGATACTGTGATCAGTATGAGTAGGTTTGCAATAAGCTGTGTGACCTACTTTTCCGTCAGTTTTTCTGTTGACCAAAACATCAGAAAATGGCATCCTTCCTTCATTTTATTTTCCATGGTAAACTGGGTGCGAGGATGAATGGAGTTGATGATGGTTAGAAACTGTCCAATGCTTGTTCCACCATCATCTCCACCATCCACGGTAGCAAGTCAGCAGTTAGGACTAGAATATCAACATATCTCAGCGATAAAGCTTTCTATAGCGTAGAAGAGTTTCTGGGCTCCTGATTATATTTTAAAATTATAATTGTACAAACCTCAACTAAATTCGTTTTGTAATTGTTATAATTGTACATTCTTATTATACTCTTTTTTATGCAGTTGTACCATATTCCCACTTTATAATCCCTTTGTCCGTCCCTATTTTTTATTTTATATATATATAACACTAGATATTGTATTGTCTATATTTTATCAATTTTAGTCAATCTACTTTATATACAATTTTTTTTTTTTGACTAGTCCGATAAGTTACATATTCTGTAGTTTTCACCACACAATGTGTATTCTTTTGTGATGAATAAAATGATTCTGATATAAATACGACTGATGCCAGTCAATTGTTGCCATGACTTCGAGAAATAACCTTCGTCCTCGCAATAAATGCATATACCACTGCATATACCATATATCAGTTCCATTTGATAACGGCGTATCAGCTCGGATTTTGTTTTCTCAGATTGTATCCGAGTTATTTGATATAATAATAATAATAAAGGTCTTTTATTAATTTACAGTTATATTCATATATGTCAACAAAAAAAGAAGTTAATGGGCGAGATTCAGTATGGCAATCGGCACTGGAAGATACAGACTGACATCTGTTCTTCCACCTAACCCAAAACAGACTACTAAATGGCAAATCAGAACAAACACCAAAAAAAAACAGTGCCAAATCTCAACAAGGTCTCTTTCTGAATGACGCATAGGTATTGAAAGGAAAAAAAATCGAATCTGACATTGTATCACTTCTAACGAAATTTCTGATATACTCTTTTGTGTGTACAGCTAATATGAAAAATGTTTTAAGAATTTTCGTCGCTAAATACTATCGAGACTACAGCGATTTTCGGAGATTCAAACTCAAACAGAAATTTCAAGATTATAGACTACAAACTGTGATTTTTGTCAACTCAATATAACTTTTTCCAGGAATGAGGTTTCTTCTATAGTTGGCACAAGTGAAGCGGGAAATATTTGAAATATCAATATTTTGCTGATGACCCAGTATTCAAGTAATGCAACAAATTACAATTGGTAATTTTATAATATGTGTTTTTTTTATCATTTTTTATAAAATTTATGTAAAAAATATGCAAAGCATAGCTTTTTATAATCCTGTGAATTCAGTTAATAGTTTTTAGGAATAAGTAATGAAGAAAAGCTGAATTATATTCTAAATATTGTAATTTTTGTAACTAAAAGTTCAAGTTGCATAAATGAGATATTTCGTTTTGTGTGAATTTAATTATATTTACTTACTGTGTTGATCGGAGAAGCAAAAATTGTGATCGAATCTTAAATGACTATGAATAAATTATTGAACCTTACCTGACAGGAGTTTAATAATAGAGTTCAGTGTTATAAAAATGAAGTGGAAAACTACCAAAAGATAGAACTAAGATTTACTTTTGTTATTGGTCAAAGTTATCTTCATTTTGATATATATTACCTATCACTATGTTTTCATTTTGTTTTTGATTCAAATTCAAAAAGTTGATGGTTATTTTTTGTTTTCCAGTCCATGCAACACCAAATATCTAGAATAGCAACCGAAATAGAATGCGCCAGACTTTTAACATACAATGCAGCTCGACTCGTCGAGGCAGGAGCACCTTTCACCAAAGAAGCCGCAATGGCGAAATATTATGCAGCTGAAGTTGCCCAAAACACGTGTATTAAATGCATAGACTGGTTGGGAGGTGTCGGTTTTACGAAAGCATTCATTCAGGAGAAATTTTATAGAGATGCTAAAATTGGCAGTATTTATGAAGGAACATATAACGTTCAGATGAATACAATAGCAAAATATATAGAAAAAGAATATAAATCATAGTAAATAATATGAATGAAAAACGAATCTGTCCTTTTTAAAATTAATGTCCTGAATGGCAGTTATTGTAAGTTTTTTATACCTTTTAGTACAACAAAAATAATACCAAAGTACTTTTGGAAACAATATGAGTAATAGTTATAAAGAACCTGTAAAAATTAGTAAATACCCCAGACCGTTCATAATGTAATAGAATAACAACAAAATGTCCATACTTGAATGTTGTTTTTCTCACTGCCATCGAAACGTTTGAAAATTTTCAGGTGTTCATCGTACACTGAAGTAAAAAAAAAGGTTCCCTTATTTTTATATATGGAAGTTTATATTTTTTATATGACGAGAAACGAGAGTTGAGAAATTTCTTCGAAGAATACTTCTCAAGATTATTCTTTTAAAATAATATCAACTTTAAATATGCTCAATTGAACCTTATATGTTACTTATGAACGGACTGACCCTTTACTTGATGAAAATTTATAACACTATCCATGATAATGATAACCATTTTCCCAACATTTTTATTTCTAAACGTGTTTCGCTAACACTGTAGCTTCTTCATTAAAAATGAAGCTACAGTGTTAGAGAAACGAAAATGTTTCATCAGTTCGGACTTCTCACATCGTTTGAAAGATCTTGGAATTCTCTAAACAACAGTGTACATTTTTTTTTAATTTGGACGAACCATATTAAATTTAGAGTTGAAGTTACTTACTTTATTCTCATGTTAGCATATGCTCAAAATGGGCACCTCCAGCTTCCATGCAATAATAGAAATTCTGCTGGAAACGTTCTCGAACATTGTGGAGCATTTCTGGAGTGATTTGGCGACATTCATTTGTGATTCGTTTCCGTAAATCTTCGAGTGATGCAGGAGGAGTACAGTAAATTCTGCTTTTCAAGCAGAAAGTTCTGGTGATCGTGGTGGCCATTCGATAGTGCTCCGCCTCCCAATCCAGTGATCCGGAAAAGTCTGATCTAAATACTGCCTAACAGGCAGAGCATAGTGCGGAGGAACCCCATCTTGTTGAAATATTAACAGATCCTCTCGATAATTGTGGTCATTTTCAATAATATCAGTGAGAAGAGGATTAATAGTATCTTCCAGAAGCTCCAGATAACATTTGTCCGGTTAAATTGCCTTCTAAAAACAATAGGCCAACAATACGGTCCCTAAAAATTCCAGCTCATACATTTAATTTTTGTGGACATTGGATTTTTGTGCACTTCATGAAAAATGTGAGGATTTGAATCAGCCCAATAGCGACAATTATGGCGAATAACTGTGCCATTTAGAAAAAAAGAACATTCATCACTGAAGCAAATGTTGAAAACAAAATGTTGATTTTCCACTGCTCGTTCACTAACCAATTCACAAAATTGCAAGCGTCGATCGAAATCGTCTTCATTCAGTTCTTGCGTTAATTTAATCTTGTAAGGATGCATTTTGTGGGTTTTTAAAATACGCCGAATGCTATAGTTCGTGACACCCCGGAAACAAATGCTAACTTTCTTGTGCTAAAAGTATGGTCAAGCTCAACATGGCCCAGAATTGCCACTTGTGTCGCCTCATTTGTTACTGGTGGTTCGATTTGTCATTTTTTATTTGCAACAGATCCAGTTGCGCGAAATTTTGCAATTAAATCGAAAACATGCTGTCGCGACACATTGTTTTCATGTTGTTGATTGAACAGTTCAGCGGCTCTCGCAGCACGTCTATTTTTCCATAGTACAGTTCATTGAACTCAACCCTCTCTGCAGATGTGTAAACCATTGTTTCTTTAGCAACACTTTACGGCACTCACTACTAGTAATAATGTAGATATCACTAAAAAAATGTACACCATTGTTTAGAGAATTCAAAGATCTTTCAAACGATGTGCGACTCGCCCCCTATTCCCTATTAAAATTCCAAGGGTTGTTCACCCCACTGCTTCGGGGTTGAAGTAACGACGCGACGCTGTAAATGGGAAAAAAACTGCCCCCCTCCTAATAAAAATCGACCTGTCTGAGCGTTTTTTACAGGTACTCATTGAAATAAGTTTACATTAACAAACCTAACAAAAATTATATATTTGGAACATCTGGAAAATATTAGTACAGTTTAAACAAATATGATGAATATCTCTTGCCCAGGCAGCCCATGCAATTCTTTCTTTTATGCATAAAACATCCGATTTTGATGCCATCTACGATTAACAACTAACAAGGTCTTACCTTTTAACGTGTGATACCTAGTATTTGAATAAAAGTTGATATTTTGGAAGCATATTTATCATGTGGAAGGTGAAAATAACCAAACTCAACTTGTTTCTTTGTTAGAAATTGCTTTCAGAATATTGAAATTTCTGATTGATTCGGCCGTTACTTGATGAAGATCCATAGTAATTTCATAAACTAACCTTACGATTTGATCTTCACGAACTTTATTTAAAAAAAAAAATCTATAACATGTTTCGCTATCGCAATAGCTTTTTCGTAATACAAAAAAGCTACTGTGATAGCGAAACGTGTAGATATTTTTTGAAAATAAAGTTTGTGAAAATCAAATCGTAAGGTGTAGTTTGTGACATACTGAAATTGTTGTATTCTATATGCGCCTGATACTGAAATATACATGTCAATCACTGTTTGGAACCTTTGGTGTAGTCATGAATATTACCGGAGTTTTTTTCCCAACACCAAACCGTTATTTTAACATTTGTACACTTGCTTCGATCATCAAGTGATCATTTTCAAGAAGATCAAACTGAAATATACACGTTTTGTCAGGAGTAGAGTCTGAGACTCAATGAAATCTTAAAAAGGAAATACCTCGAACTACACTTTGTGAGAAATATTCTAGAAAGTGGTGTTCTTGTGAAATAAACTTCCTAAGGAATTCCAAATGAATATACTTTACAGCTAGTGGAATATAGCGTAAATCACTACTTTTGCACAGACACCACATGAGTGCTTGTGATCTCCATAAAAACACCCCCCAAAGCATTGCAACCACAATCCTATACTAAGGAACTATTTCAATCTGTCATGATCTCATTAGTGGTACTAGTTATTCTTCTTATTAGTGGTACATATGGGAAGACCACAAAAAACGTGAATCACATACCTGTTTTTCAACTCAAATTCATGGACAATTTGATTAATAATTTTCAAATTATACCTGCAATGGTAGCGTCATATATAGACACAAGATTTGTCCTAATTGAGAAAAAAGGAATAATAGGAACAATTGGACGGTCAATGGGCAGTAATAGGAAACAAATAAATTCATTTTTCTCAAAATATAATCAATAAAACTATGTTACAAGTAAGTTTGTAGTACTAACACTTTTAGAACTAAGATGAAATTTTCATTTAGGATCATGGGGAAGTTTAAATCCTACCATCTTTGCAGTTTCATCAACACTTCTTTCTCCTTTCCCGTGATATTCATTATGAATTTGTTCTTCTAATCGGGAGCTTTTCAAATAACACAAATAGGTTTTTGCTACAAATTCCATTTCTTCTCTAGCCTTACATAGTTGTTGATCTGTAGTTTTGTATTTTTGAAATTGTTCCAATATGTACTGAAGTGCCAAGTTGTTTTTCAAACTGCCTTCAGGTAAGCTTTTACGTAGTTCGGAAATTATCTGCCTGAGCACATTTATTTTTCCTGCCATTGCTTCAAAATTTTGTGAAAACAAATTTAAACTGGAGATTTGCTGTCGTTCTTTGTAATAAATTCTATATCCTCGATATACTTTGGTTCAGAGTTTATTTTCCATAAATCCTGAGAAACAACATTCAGTTTTGGAAATACATGAATGGCAAGATCATTGAATATATCGTGGTATTTGAAATTATTGATAATGGGATACTCTAATACATAAGGTAGGATTTTAGAAATATACCCAGCACTTTGCTCTAGAGTCCTTCTAGAGCAATTACCAACAATTTTATTGAAACTGTTAGCGATAATTATGCAAGAACTCAAGTTATGGCTCCAATTAACCCAAAGCAAATTATTAGTCAATTGTTTAGGACAGTGAGGTAGAAAAAACAACACTTTATTTTCACCAAGGGTCTTATGTTTACCCTCCAAGTTTTCTTTCAACACTGTGACATTGAAATAACCCAATAATTCAATATCATTTTTTGTAAATATCGGATCATATGCAGAAATAGTTACATCAAAAAGTGTTTTCAAACAAAGTATGAAAGCAAATTGATACCTTGATGTAACACACTCACCAATTCTACCTAGGCCAAGACAAACTATCTCGGCTATTGCTGAATCATTCAAAATGAAAAGTCCCTCTTTCAAAGATGTACATACAGATTTGAAAAGATCCGATGATAATACTTCTGACTTAGCTTCACAGATTTTCCTAAAAACAGTCATTGTTAACATTTTCATAAATAATATAATAAATACAATCTACTTGAGGAAATATTCCTTGTCCAATGATAAACTTAATGAAGTATTCGTCTTGATATCACATTTAGTCTGAGTGATCCGTCCAGTTCTATTTTTAGAATTTCTGCTTTTATATGAAACTTTCAGGAAGCCGTCAACATCAACATCCATTTATACTCACTAAATGGTATGTATCCCTTTTTTATTCAAAAGGCAACACAACACTAACATAAATATGACATGACATTGACACATGTTATAATCAAAGTTGCCAACAGCATGACCATTCTAGTTTGACCAATAATATATAATAAACTGTTCTTCTACTTGAGGGTATCATCAGAGAAGGCGTTTTAGGGGTTGGTATCGGGACAAACTAAAAATAGTAAAAATGGTCGCTCAGTTATATTTAGGAAAGTTATACGTGAGTCTATTCTGAATAACCAGTTCTGTAACTAGAATCGTCCCAGTGATGAACCCGAATCACAGCGGTTCACACATTTATTTGGGAGTCATAGAGTGGTATACACCAATACGTCTTGGCACATTCATGTCGTTGGAATTGCAAAGGTTGCTTCTCAAAAGTTTTGAAAATTGTTCCGAACCAGAGAACTGTACACACCTCAATAACTTTTGGTGCTTTATAAAGCTCAGTTCAGACCTTCTTTGGAGTAGTGTTCTCATGTACGAATCTCTTCATCCAAATATACCCTGAAGTTGCTGGATTCCATCCAGAAAAGAGCTATCCGCCTGATTGGAGACGCGAACATCACGTGCAACCTTGCTAGTCTAGAACATAGAAGAAAGGTTGGAGATTTGTCTCTCTTCTATAGATACTTTCACGGAAAGTGTTCAAGTGACTTGGCACATTTGATTCCACCAAGAGCAGTACATATCAGAAATACGCGACGGAGTGTATAACTGCTCATCGTTTTGAAGTTCAGCTTAGTACACTTCGAAATTCACTGTTCCATCTGGAGAATTGCGTTTATGTGAAATAAACTTTCTGAGAAGGTTTTTCCAAATGGATTTAATCTCCAGCGATTCAAATCCATTGTGAATCGCTACTTACGCACAGGCACCGCTCTGAGAGCGCCTTAAGAATTTTCCTGTAGTGCTTGTGTCACAATAGAATAATACAACTAGTAGGCTCTCTTATCACGGGATCCGCCCGAGTTGGGGACCTTCAACCGCTCTTAGGATGAGATTCTCATCCTTGGCTTAATGCGCCTCAATGGAAGAAAAAGCCATTAACATAGAAAGAGAGAGAGAGAGAGAGAGAGATTCTCATCCAACGCGTTTCGTGCGGTAGTATCGAAGGATTTGACGGTACCACGGACATCGGATTAGTTATAATAAACGGTCAGAAATGGATATTGTGTTTGGTTTATTCGCTGTTATTATTGTTTTTAGTTTTTGTAGTTGGTTATCAGTGACGGCTCGTGCATTGGAGAATAGGGGAGGCTCAAGTCATATAGACTATATACACACAGAAAAGCGCGGAGGCGCGAAAATTTTTATGTTGTTGCACGCTTTGCTTCATACTTAAGTTAGGGCATGGGCATGACAATGCGTAAAAAGTGCATGAGGAGCTATGGACTTCATTTTAGTTTGTAAACCATTTAAATGGCCGGCCATGACCGTGCAGCCCCATCATAGGTTTGCGCAATTAACTTTTTCCTAAAATTATAGGTGTCACACATACGAATTGAAAAATTAAACAAATCGTCAGCTGTGAACCAAGATGAAACATCATGAAAACCCATAAAACGTTCTACCACATTACCATCTTTGACATATCTAAAAACGATCGAAAGTTGTGTCAACTTATTTTGTAACATCTCCATCCTGGAGATGTTACAAAATAAGTTGACACGGATCATTGTGAATGCTCCGTGGTTCATGCGAAATGAAGCCATCCGCAGAGATTTGCAGCTGCCTTCCATTCAGCAGTCCATTCAGTCGAGGAATTGACGAGTTTTTGATGGCGCGGAAACTCACGAAAATCCGTTAGTTAGGGAAGCTATAGATTATGCTGGGGTGGGCCCTCATGTCCCTCGTTAACGGATGAACAGATTTTTCATCCATCCCACCCCAGCCAGGTAGGGGTACCCCGTGAAGGGCGGTACTGATGTCTGAGTACTTCATGCCGCCAACATCCCCTCAGTCATGAACCCATTTGTCTTTCTTCGACAAAAATCAGCTAAAATGGTAAGGAAGCTGGGCTCTAACCTGAATGAATTGAAGACGCTTGGTTGGTATGAACTAGAATCTAGAATCACTAGTTATCGGTGAATCATCAAGATGAATAAACCTCTGAAGAAGCCATTTCATAAGGGACCATTACAGGTTCAGTAATAATGTTATTCCATCAGATCATTACAGAAACATCATTACCAAAAATTGTCCAGTCATTCTATGTCATTAGTTTCCGTACCTCACATGTTCATTATTACTGATATTATTTTTCATTATTATTATGTTTCGAGTGGCGTAGAAATTACATAGACCATGTTTTTATCGATTATGGATTTTGAAAAAAAAATATGTCTAGCTATAATTATTGCATTGAGTATGAACCGTTCTGTTATACTCCGTTACTGGATGAAGGAATGGTTGAAAAAAGGCGAAAATTATTCACATTTAGTGTTACTTAAAGAAATACGTGATACGAAGGAATACAGTTTATATACTTCATTCGTACTAATTCTGGATATATACGGTAATTCGACCTCATTGTGTATGTCACCAATTTCGCCAAAATCGCTTGTGAGTGGAGATGCATACATCATCTTTTATGAGAAGGAGGAAACGAGTTCGCACCTTTGAGCGTTTTGAAAAGTTATTTTTGAACTGTTTATTTTAATGTTATAATGAATTATATTAAAGTTTTTCTCCTAACGTCAGGAAGTTTTGATTCTGGTTTTAATTTTTTATAAATGACCATCAACTTATTTAGAGTTTCGTTTCTTTTTGTTTTGTTCATATAAATATCAAGAGACGAATTCCATGTTTCAGGAAGACTTTCATAAGTTCCTATGAAATTAAGAATTTTTTTGCAAGTGTCTTGGTATGTCATCATGGAACGAATCCAAGGAAGAAAAAATGATTGCAATGACGCGAAAGTTTCGCATATGATTTGAACCTTGTAGAAGAGGAAATGTGAATTTATTTTTGTTATAGTCAAATTACCTATTACACCTGCAAAAAAACAGGTTTCAACTCTGAGGTAAGTGACAAATCAATTGAATTGAGAAAAAAAAACATAATATTCATTTTCCTAAGTTTGATCCAATAATAAAATTAAGAATATAAGTATAAGTAAATATTTATTCAGGTAAGCATAATATACAATATGAATTCAATATTAAAACTAGATAACTTGAGAAACTAGAAAAAAAAGGAAAGAACTAACTAAAACTGGAAATTGTGAGTCAATGCTGAGCTACCTAAGCAATGCTTGTGTTGTAGTCATCAACCTGGATTATATCGAGTATTCATATGTTGATTGGTGAGTAGAAAGAAGGAAAAAATCAAAGTTAAATTCATTGTGAGGAAGAGAGTATACGGTTATTTATTGTATTTTGTATTTCTTACTATTATTCGAGTTCGTATACGGTTTTCAGTTTGTTATAATTTTGGGTCACATATTCTTTCAGTTTTTATTTCATTTTACGTGTATTATTCATATCACGTTTATTTCAAATAAAATCAACCATACATATACATTCTAACTTTTTGATTCACATTATAAAACATTAGACAGATTATATAAGTCGTCTTAATCTTGAAAATCTTGCACCAATGCTTCAGATACTATATCACTGGCGTTAGAAGCTTTTCAGTGAGACTTGTCTGGAGTGGTCCACAAGGATGATGCTGCTGAGGAGTATAGCGTCCGGTTTTCATTATAAACTATTGCTGAATTCTGAAGTAGTTGGAATTGGCGGCGTTTGGTTCAATAATTCCATTTGAGTTACTATTTCAAAAATTTTCGCTTTTGTACAAGTAACAAGGTCTGGTGGAAATTTTTTAACTGTGGCCGTCACGCATATGAAACACATCATTCTCATCATCGTTTTCTTGAGGTGATTTCGCAAGTTCATCAATGCATATCTTGAAAACTTCCCTGACTGCCTTGTTTTCTATCTAAAATTGATTTAGACAAGAATTTTCTTTTACTTTGCGATATTGAAGCAGTATCGGGCCCTCGACTTTCAGGTTTATGCGGATCTTCAGAGGTTTGTTGGTTTGGAGCACTTCACTCAATCACTGCTGTTTCAGAAAAATCGCCATCTGCAGTCAGTCAAAGTTGGCAGTAAATTGTCCTATTCTTTTCAGCGGCACTTCCTGTGGATCCTTTCTCTTTTTTTCCTTTGTGTAATGGTCTCTGACACTTTCCCCCCGTTTCTTACACTGAACGAGTAACTTGCACTGTAACTTGCACTAACCTCCTATGTAAATAAAAAAAAGGATAATTATATAAAATGTAATGTTTGAGTGATGATTCAAATTCCAGTGAAATACGACACTTATAACACCTTATTATTGATTTTGTTTCAGGTTTCTAACCATGGGAGAGTCGTACAAATCGCTGTCGTTTGGCCACTACATGCTTTAAGCAGGATAGTACTTAGTGTTGGTTAGTGCCTATTGTTTGCCTCCTCCTAACCAGATATACTGGCATCAGAAAGCCAAGGAAGCGTTGGGTTTTCTCTATTGATGAGAGGTATGTAAGGATTGTGGTTCCATTTTCATCAGGAAGTCACTAAATAACACTAATCACACTAAACGGAACAAACGTTCTCAGACAAAACCTGACTATATATTGCGCATCATGAAACCGAATAGACTCCTATTCGATTGCTGGACACCGAAGTGATCAGACGTGCCGTAGCGATCTAGTGTGTTTTTTACGACAATTTTCTTAGTGAATGTTCAGCCGTGCTGCAGTGTTTCTGGCTCGGTGTAGTTTGGTGCGTTGTGTTATTTTGAGTGAGCAAAAACGTTTCTGGTGAGTACGCTTGAATATTTCATTTCCGATTCTCTCCTGGTGCTCATCAGTTACTGGAAGTTTTCAATACTTTGTCGAGTCGTAGCAGTATGGAGGAACTGCTTGACAGCCTGATGGCCAGGGACAGGGGTGAAGTAATTACCCTTATGGGTTTATTACTTGACCGCCTGGGCCTGAGTCCAACAGAGCTGTTAAGAGGCAGCCCTGGGGCGGTAGCCCGGACGCCCTCTGTCCCCCCACCAGGGGTCAGAGAGCTTCTCGAGCGCCCGCCACAGAACACCTCCCTCGAAGGTGCTACTGCGATCACTACCCCCTCTACTCAAACCAGAGTAGACATGGTTCAGACGAAGCCGCAAGAGCCGGCACAAAAAAAGCGACGTCTACCGGAGGAGTTTCCTTCTCTTCCTCTCAAGCCGGCTCCTCCTAGTGTTGCAGAAAACACTGGAGCAAAGCCGAAAAGGCTAACGAAGAAAACCAAGCTTCGTAAAGAAGCAAAACACAGCGCCTCAGAGTCGGAGATATCGACCACTGAACCCTCCATCGACGGAGAGACGGAAATGTCGGTCGACGATTTCGAAAATAGATCCGAGATATCTCTCGCCACAATACAGGGTGGCCCGAGTAAGCAGGTTGAAAATCTCAACGATTCGGATAACATCCCCCAACCCCGCCCGCGTTCTGGAGCGCCCCAAAGCGCTAAGAAAATCCGCGTTCCCCCAATTGTCGTTCGCCAGAAGGACAAGTGGGTTAAATTCATCAAGCTAGCCACCTTTCATAAGGTGAGCTACACGAAAGCTGTGAACCTGGCCGACGGCATCAAGGTTCAGCCTTCGACGATAGAGGACTTTAGGAACATGTGCAAACTCCTGGTGAGGGAAAAGATCCCCCACCACACATACACCTTACCTGAAGACAGGCAACTCAGAGCCGTCTTCAGAGGAGTCCCAGAACATCTGGAGACTGCTGAGATCGAGGACGCCTTGGTAGAGAAAGGCTACCAACCAACCTCAGTGTCCCGTATGATGCGTGGAAACCGCCCGCTTCCTCTGGTTTTGGTTCAAGTGAGCCAAAATCAGAAGAACATTTACGACGAAAGGGAATTGCTCAACGTTAAAATCAAGGTTGAGCCCCAACATCAGAGGACACTGGTCGGACAGTGTCACCGATGTCAGCGGTTTGGACACAGCCAGAGAAACTGCTTGGCCATCCCTATCTGCGTCAAGTGCGCCGGCAGACACTTTTCAGGTGAATGCAAAAAGCCTAGGGCAGAACCCCCTAAGTGCAACAACTGCAAGGGGGTGCATACCGCGAACTACCGAGGTTGTCCTGAGTTCCCCAAGGTTCGCAGGAGGACCAAGGTAGCAGCAAATGCCCCCCAAAAAGCATCCACACCTGGGAGGCGCCCTGCCGGAGCATCTGGCACGCGCCCGGGGATGAGCTACGCAGGAGCGGCTAAGAGCGGCAACACCTTCGCTAAGCCGACCCCAGCACCTAGAGATCCTAGTCCGTCGAAGGTTAGTGACATCTGCTCCGCTCTGGACCAGATGAAGAAACTCTTCACTCAGTTCCCCGTACTCGAGAAAATGTTTACGGTGAACACCAGCGTGATAACTGAAACTTGTTAATGGCTAGACAACCAACATTGCCTAGCTCTCTTAAGGTCGTATTTTGGAATGCCAATAACATCTCAAGTAAAAAACTTGACTTCACAAACTTTCTCACAGAACACAACATCGATGTCGCACTTGTGCAGGAAACCCACCTGCACAATGAGCCTTTTGGTATCCCAAACTACCGTTTCTACCATAGAGAACGAGTTGGACGTGCTGGAGGAGGAGTTGGCATTTTTGTCAAACGCAATCTTCCTCACGTACAATTCGGCATTAACTCGGATCTGTTACACGGCACGGAAGCCGTGGGCGTTGAACTCCAACTGAGAAGAGGTCGTCATAGACTAATCTCAGTTTACAACCCTTTGCGCTCTTAAAGGAAAACAGTCCTATTAAATCTCTATGGAGAAGTTTGCGACGTATCAAGCTGAGCGTGACACGTCGCACGCGACGCAAAAAATGTGTCGCTAGAAAAACAGGGCTCTAACCGTACGTGAACCAAGTCGTTTACTGTGTGTTCACTTTCAGTTTCACTAGCCGCAGGTCCATTCATCTTGAGTCCACAATGCGCACTGACTGAAGTACCGAACTGAGTAATGACGAAATAATGACGCCCGATCATTTTTACTGACAGTATCCCTCCCCTGCTAAGAATGATGGGCAAATATCAGAATATCCGGATACGCTTCATTACCGCTTCAATATTCATTCCAGTTTCTTACCTCTACACTTTCATTATTAATGTTATCATTTTCAGGTAATAACATTATTACTAAACGTGTGATGGTCCTTATGTATTGCTTGCACGTTTTCCGATGGCGGACATATACAAACGAATAAACTATCACCACACAAATAAGTATTGCATGCTTGCAAGAGCTATGACGGCGTGAGCTTTCGTTTTCTCGACGATGAGAACAGCCGCTACACGTCAATCCACTTCGACGAGGAAACGGAAACTCCTTCTATCTTCAGAACTTTAGATTTGACAGGTATGACAGATGACACGAATGACAGTGACAGTTGCAGTCAAATTTGTGAATGTTTGTGTTTTCATTTACATTTTCTTAAATGTGTATCAAACAATTTCAATGGAAATAATAATGGTTTTCCGTTTATACGTGACTTGTTAATCAAGTTCTAACTTTCAATTGCTTTAATTATGTCTCGAATCCAATATTTGTTTGATTTAAAGACTTCTAACTATGAAAAATAGTAAGAGGCTTTTTAGTGATGTACACAGAAAAATAAAATGTTTCAAACTTGAAAATGGTCATAACTTGGAAGTGGATTATAATATTATTTATTGTCACCATAAATGGCACTGAGAAATTGTGCCCGAATAAATGTATATGTAAAAGGAATTCAAATGATGGTTTCATAAGAATGGTCTGTGGAGAAAAAGACAAAGCAGAAGATAAAATTATTCACATTGATGAACTGGAACTTCTTAGTGTGGCCAGCGAGTTGATCCATTTGTGAGTTGATTTGTTTTGGTTCATTGTCTTTGTTTAATGAATTATATTTAATGTAACAGTGTTAATACTAATAGATTAAAGAAATAATAGCACTGTTGGTTATTGTGGCATTTAGAAAAGGAATTGTTAAAGAATAAACTCCAAATGACACACTTTTATACCGAAGAACAGTAAATACAGCAAACAAGCTCATTATTAATAATAACGGAAAGAGGTATGAAAATCCAATTGTACCTACTTACATAGATACTGCTTTTTAATGTTTCGAATGAGAGTTCATTCTTGCCCAGATGTTAAAAGCAGTACCCTAGTTTTTTAACCAAATTTATTGATATAAAATATAACTTCATGCTATACAGTTATTTTTCCAAGCACAGTTTCTCAAATCTTGTAGCATTTTATTTCATTTATGACAAATCATTGATTAAATGCTTGGATGCAATAGATTCATTTGCATATGCATTGAACAGACTGTTCTTTTCATTTCAAAGTTACATTAATTTGTCAGTCATGAAAATGTTATCTTGAATGTACAAGAATCTAAAACTGAACTGTATTGATTCTAATTATTCTCCTTAAAACTCCCCCCAACTCCATGGGGGCAACTCGGCTGAAATATTTTCAAGATGGCTGTGTCAATTTTGTAATTTTAAATGGATCACCATATACATTATAACATTTTTGGATTATATCTACATCAGAATCTAAATACTTTTTGTGCATAATGTCCTATATCGAAGTCTAACGGTTTTTGACATATTTAATTTTTTTTTGACAAAATTTTGCAGACCCTATAATAATTATCAATTTTTCCTATGAGAAAACTTTTATCATTGTTTTTTGTACAGGGGAACCAAATGTATTAGATTTTATATGACATTTTGATATATATTAATACAGGGTGGTCAAAAAAGAAGAACTTATATGAAATTCAATAGACCATCTGAAGTGATCA